AGTTTCCTAATCCATTTCTCGACGACATCCTGTACTTGATCCTTCGGAACACCTCGAAGCCTTGCGAATAAGTACAAATGATCCCAAGTATTCAGGTTCCCCATAATAGCATCTTGCTGAGGACAGTAACCCATTTCTCGCAGATATTCAACACGATGGCTTTCAATATTAAAATTTCTCAACCACATTTGTCCATCATTAGGTATTTCCTCGCCAGTCAGCATTCTGAACGTCGTACTCTTTCCAGCACCATTCACCCCTAGCAATCCGAAACATTCACCCTCTTTCACCCTGAAGCTGATCCCTTTCACTACCTCAAGACTTCTGTATCTCTTGTGTAAATTGTTCACAAGCATTAAATTCTCATTTACATTACTGAAAATTCCATTCCTTCGGTTTTCCACTGCATCGGCAACAACTCTCTTCTCCTTCATCACCAATTCATCCATTTCTGTAGTATTGAATGTTTTCGATTTATTCCTGATAATTCTCATAATGATTCTCTGGAAAAACCGCTGTTCAATTATGAAAATTATTGCAGAGAAAAATAAAAATGAACCTGCCATGTACATCATACTAGTAGCCAGATTTGGAAGAAATTTTAAGTCGTTTTCACCGAAATAAGGAAATGGATTTTTGCAGTCACCATTGGTACATTGTGCCTCACAGCAAGGATCATGAAGGACGCATAAAACATTAGTAAATTCTGAAGTCATTCTCCGACATCTGGCGTTCTTCGATACAACAGTGAAGAAAGTTGAATGTGCATACATAAAACTCAGAAGAGGATACATTTGAACAATTGATGCCACAAAATCCTTGAAGATCTCCATAGAATGATTTCTCAAAGCCATTGAAGTGAGAGTAAGTATCACTTGCAACAATCCTAGTACTACCGGAGCAATTAATTGAAACATTTTAGTAGCAGTCAATGTTTTCTTCAGGAAGCTGAGGCAATAAACAAATGGCAGCATGCTCAACCCAAGGAGAAACATTAGTTCCAAGGATATAAGGATTTCTGTCTCACCGTATAATTTTGTGGCCAGCGCTTTATCCACGATAATCAATACAACTAGTAGTATAAGGCAGGATATTACGTACTGCAAGAAATCGAATACGAACATGCTGACCCAATACGAGAATTTCGAAGCCCCAGTCATAATTTGCAGCTGTTTTACACCACAACGAGCTTCTTCAAGAGGCTGAGTAACATATAAGGCAATGGTCACTGCCATAAACAGTATAATACCACTTGTGGCGAGCCAGCCATCAGCTACCTCTCGTTGAGGAATTGCCCAGATTATTGGGATCTGCTGGACTGAAGCGTCAATAGTGTAGGCATCATTCATGGTTAGAGCCTTCAAAATAGCATTCGACAGAGTATTTAAAGTTACGGGCATCCCTAGATATGCACCGCCCGAGTAAAATCCATTGGCTGTTATATTCATATCCATCTGATAAAACTCAGCAGAAACAATGTATTTATTTCTGTACACTCCGATGTCATCTTTAGCAACCTTTAAAAGAGCATCTGTGACACTTGTAGTCGGCTCTCGAAGAATCTCCGCTCTACCTCCGAACTGACTCATACTTTTTACGTACGTACGGGACAAATCGGAATCTGAAGATTTAACAAAGGCCTGTGGGGAGTCATAAGCATTTAATGTTAAGGAGAGTGATCTCGTTGGATCCGTTGTTCCACTGAATGCTGCCAGCATTACTATACATGCCAAACTGGGTAATAATAATGTCAGCAAGAATGACCAGATATTTTTCCTGCTCGATGTGAATTTCTTCAGCAAAAAGGCAAAAAAACACTGACGAAAATACTCGATGCCTGTTGTCTTTTCTGAGTATTTCATTGGCTCTCTTGATTCAACTCTATCAGCATCCTCTCTCGTCACTCTCAGGAATACTTGCTCTAATGTTATTAACGAAACACTCATTCCAGTGATACCTAAAGCATTTCGGGATGATTCTAGATGATCTAGAGTTTGTGGTAATGATTCCACTTGAGGAATTGTTAGAACCATTTTACCCTCGTCTTGACTCAATAACTGAGCTGAGATTCCAACCTCTTGGATTATTTTCGAAGGGTCACACCATGGTTCGATAGACAGTGTCACTTCCACTTGACCATCTCCGTACAATTTCTTCAGAAACATTGACGTTCCATAGCTCTTCAATTTGCCTGTTTGCATTATTGCTATTCTATCTCCAAGGATATCAGCCTCCTCCATGTCGTGTGTACTTATTATTATCGTCTTTGTACCTCTCATTTTCAGCACAATGTCCCAGACTTCGCGTTTACTCTGTGCATCCATTCCAGATGTAGGTTCGTCCAGTATCAAGACATTTCCATCACCAATCACAGCCATTGCAAGGCACAATCTTCTCTTTTGGCCTCCGGACAACTGTTTAGGAATGACATTCCGCTTGTCCGTTAGATTCATTTTATCTAATAAAGCATTAATTTCCGATTTTAACTCGGTGTTATTTTTATTACGGGCTTTCAGAGTTCCGAAGAAGAAAAGGTGTTGGTAAACTGTTAATTCTGGAAAGACCATGTTCTCCTGGGGGCAGAGGCCGATGTTATTCTTTATGCTGATTGGATCTTGCTGAATATTTTTACCATCGATGAGAACTATACCATCTGTTAAACTTGTTAACCCTGATAGAATCGACATCATTGTCGTTTTACCAGCACCATTGTGACCAAGTAAAGCTGTTATTTGACTTTTGTAAAAATCCATAGAGACTCCCCTGAGTGCCTCAACCTTTGATGATTTCGTCCAACCCCTTGTATATGTCTTTTTCAATCCTCTGATTCTTATTCCTGGCGGAGAGGATCCTCGAGGGACCTCTTCAAATTGTTTGCCGATACAATTTGTTTTATCAAGGTCGATTTTTTTTTCGTCGAGTTGATCATTGCATTTATTTCGGAAACAAGAGAAGGGATTTCGGCTGACTCCGTATTTGCCGGGGTGAATTGCCTGAATGAAAACCGCCAAGTAAAAGTTTAAGAGAATACCGATGATGGAGAAGATCAACATGACTCCAACACTTCCTTCAGCTGGAGCGTGTACTGAACCAATGGTGAACATATTCGACCAGTTGAGACCGATGAGTTTCCTCTCGTACATGCTGATTTCGTCGAACATTCTTTGAAAGAGGATGCCTGGGAATATTACGCCAAGGTACGGGAGGAAGTGTTGAAGAGTATTGGAAGCAGCGTAGGTCGTAGCAGAATTGATTATAATCCAAATCATGAAGGTTATGGAGATTCCTTTAGAAGCTGAAACAGATAATGACGTATTATGTTGGAAACACGGTTGAGATTCGGTTTTTCAGAGATTCGCGCCAGAGAAATCACAAACTTTTCTGCTATAGGGAAAAAACGGAGACTTCACCTGATGGATAAGATAAATGTGATAAGTGATAACTATTCCAATGATTTTCTTAGAAACCCAAAATTTTGGTAACTCCCGAATAGAAATAAATAAATCTGGATGATCGATGGAATACATTATCTGATTGTAAATAATTATCTTCAGTTATCTGATTCTTAGAAGAAATTACGCTTTCAATTAATGATTTCCTGAATTGATGAATTATTATTTTTTAGAATAAATCATATTATAACTGGTGCATTAGCATGAATTTATCTTTACAATTTTATTGGAAGTTATTTAAGTTGTTGTTGTAATTAACTATTTTTTTGTGTTGATTCTAAAAATTAAGAGTGGAGCAATTTTTAATTAGTATATTATCCAAATTTGTCAACTTACGTTTCCAAAAATAAGATGACAAGTGGTAACCGAAGGAAAATACGTGGCAGATATTGACGAACAGGACCAGCCATACAATAAATGGATTTCCACGAGTTAAAAATGGTACAGCATTATTCGGTCCGAAGTATACCATAATTACCACAAATGGAGCTAGATAAAGAGTACTGAATAAGGCTGCACTCAGAAGCCAACTGAAGAGATTCATGCCCGTTGTGACTCCATTGACAGACATGAGAATATTAATCCCAATATGTTTTTCATTAGCCGGGTAAGCCATCTCGATGCAGAGAATAATCAAGAAGATGAATTTGATGATTTCCGAAAAAGCTTGCGTCCCAATGGACATGTCTGCACCCATCTTTGTGTACGGGGGATAAGGCATTTGTTGCATGAAAATCTTCGGTTGCAATTTCTTGAATTGAGAAGAACTTTCTGAAACCCAATCAATGTAGGCTTCATCAACGCATAATTGTAATGCCATAATTGGTGAAAAATTAAATGTATCGGCCAACATTCCATTCTCCTGCGAGTCGTACAAATCCATTCGCAGAGGATCTCTTGATCTGATTTTATATTTAAAATTCGTTGGCACGGAATTTCCACTGAGAGTCTCAAAGATAATTCCTATAGATGTCATGTATGAACTTCTAGAACTGTCACTGATTAAATCCTTCACCATTGTGTCCTCATCAACTGTCCCATTCACTTTCGGCTTGTATTTAAGACATTTTTGTGTCCGCGCCATCAGATCAATCGTCATCCTGTTTTCTGGAGTAAAGCGAATGAGATTTATCCAATTGGTTCGCATCAGAATTTCTTCTTTGGATTTAATTGGATAGTAAGTCGTGGTGTCTACATCTTCTGGTGGTGCACCAGTAAATAAACCAATACTCTGGCCCATGAGAAATAAACCGATTGAAAGAATCACTTGGACTCCTATACTCCGAAACCAACATTTTCCTCGGACTTGAAAATTCTTTTTAACTAGGATGAAGAATATTCTCAGTGTCTCGTTCATGATTTGATGTTCTCCTGACGTGGACTCGAAATTACTGGCACTGAATAACTTGTCGGGCGGTTTCTCCCGGATACTACGTCCACTGTCGGTTTATGTCTTCTCTGAAATGATAAAAATGATAAAAATGATAAAAATGATATAGAAATTGTCACAATGAGGAAGAAGTTGTATGTGTTAAATGTGAGTGTAAGTAGAGATTAGGTAATGTGATAGAATTTACCGGAGCTTCAAAATTATCTCATCACGATATTACGGATTTTACACGGTCAAATTTCAATTTTCTTAGAATTTCAGTCATAAAAAATTAAATTTCTCATTTGTCTTGAAAATTTCAGAAAATTGGATTTTCACGTTAAATAATAGTGGATTTTTCAATCATATCATCGAGTAGTCTCGTCGAATGATCCAAAGAAAAAATAATCAATGAAAAATTTTCAACATTTTCTAATATTCAAGAAATTGAACGATTAATGATAAATTAGTAAAAATTATTTTTTTTTATTGGAAATTGCACGGCAAATTCGAAATTGATGATCTGCACGAATCGAAATTTAAGAGTAAGACTGTGATATTTTCATGGCAATTCAATTTGATTGAGTAGAGTATGCACAGCGTAAATTATTCTGTTGATATTTAGCTCATTGAACTCAGAAGGTATTTGCTGTTTCCTATTGAATTCCCCAACAAATGAACAAGCGTAGGAAAAAATTGGTTAAGGCCCGGATGGACTGTCTGGAAAAGATAATTTACTCCAAAATTGGGACTTCTAATTACTCCGTCAATTAATCGTTTTTTCCGATAATTGTTAGCTAGCGGCCTAGTTATTGACAACCGCTAGAACGCTAGCTAACAATTATTGAAAAAAACGATTAATTGCCAAAGTAATTAGGAATCCGAATTTCGGAGTAAATGATCTTTTCTAGATAATCCACCCGAGCCTTAAAATACTTTGACGGGAGAAATCTCAATCAAATAAATTCAACAGTAAAATCTTCACAAAAATCTATTATACTTTTGTAATTGATTTTGTTGGGTTAAAAATAAAACCGGGACTTCAAAAATTTCCAGGAACGATCATCACGCAAGGTTGTGATAACACAATGACGCACTGATATGGTTTGGGTTGCCTACCTAAGTTGCCTTCTAAGAAGTAGATAAAAAAAAATGTCCCACACATCTTTAACGCGTTAAAACCCACCCAACTTAATAGATCATAGGAAAATTAACATTTGTCTATTATTTCTGTGGTTTATTTCGTCCCGAATTCTAGGATTTGTGGTTGAATGATTAGACTGGAGAGTGAGGAAAATCGCAATCGAAATATAAGACCACTCCAATGATGAGCTCATTTTAATTTAAAAAAAATTGCCATTAATATTCTTTAACGAGTGTAATTTCCCTGATTCATTTTACTGCGGTATTTCAGTTTCTGTCATTTTTTTAAAGAATCAATTTGTAATATTTTTAGTTGATAATTAAAAAATTAAGTTGCTTCGCCAGTAAACAGAATAGAAACACTGAATTACTCAATTTTCACTTGATGTAATTAAAAAAAATATAACCACATGGCCTTATCAGTAATTTTGTTTAAAAGATGAGTCATTCTTGTGTAATATCATCCATATTTGTTTATCACAGGTTACACACGTGCCACGCAACAATTTCAAATAAAAATGTATCGATTCTTGACCTAGATTTTCATACTCGGTATGTAGGAGTACACCATTAAAATAATGAAAAATTTATAAACAAAATTCATTCGTACTCGACTGTCAACCCGGTTATCACCGATACTGACACTGCGGTAGACTAGAGTCTCGTCACTAGACCATCCTGTCTTGTTAGAGTCATTTGTATATTTATTTCCTCGTTCCTCGTTTGCTATTATTGATGACGAACTATTCCTAGAATTGTCTGTTCGGATAAGAATCAATTCCAACTAAGGTAATCAAATCTCGTAAAGTATTGACATGCGATTATCGAAATCTTCGAGATTTGTTTCCAAGAAAGTAGAGATTGTTCCCAAAATTTTATTTTTAATTTTTTGCATATGAAGAATTCTTTGTCGAGAGTGTAAGATAGGAATTTTAAAGTTTGGAGGTAATTTGATATCACTGCACTCAAAAAATATCCATTTTCAATAAGTTTCCTGTGGATATTATATATTATATTATATATTATATATTATATATTATATTATATAGATATTATATTCCTGTGGATGGTTGATTAATAACAAAGGTGTTGATGGGAACTAACAGTAATATGTAATCTTAAATTATTCATGAATGACAGCTTGTTGTGCTCTCACCCGGGTTGCTAAGCGAACTGGCTGATCTCAACTTCCTAGTGGAAGACTCCACCGTATTGCTCGTCATTTATTTATGAAAATGATCACAGGCAACGTCGCCCAGGTTCGAAATGTCTTCTCCGAAAGTTTATACTAATAATTTCTTCACGTCCACAAATTCATTTGGAATGGATCTCTTCCGGTTTCTATATTTTTTTGGAGATTTTTGGAATTAACAAAAAAAATTAATAACTGTAAGAGGCAATATAAGACAAATGATCGATTTTTAATTTTACTCACTCAAGTGATTCCTAAAAAAAATCGTAAAAATAATTCAAAAGATACATAAAAAAACTGTTTTTTCCTCAACTTCTCATAAATTGAAAAGAAAATTTCTGAATAGAGATAAGCCCCGAAAAAGCAAAAAAAAAAAAAACAAAAAAGGCATGACGGGAAGAGTGAAGGGCTTGACACCCGCTAGTGACGTCGGGCCCAAAACCGGGACCCCAAGGGTGAATGGACAGAGACGGAGGACAATTAGACATTCCGGCCTTGACCTGCCAATTGGACACTCCTTTGACTGTCCTCCACCATTGCATATTTACGTATACTATTGTCGCGTGATATCGGAGCTTGTATTATCCTGTATCATATTCAATTTATTAAATTACATTCTTTAAATATTTAAAATCCAATACTGACTGACGGATCATCAATAAATGTACGCTTCTTGTAGTGGGCACGTGTATGGAAATCGTGAAGAAAAGATTAGATTCTCAGAATTTAGAAATTTTAAAATACTTTACTGCTATTTGTACAATTTTACATGCTTATTTTTAATCTTGTTACTACTACATTGGTATAAATACAGAGTGCAAAAAAATTCGTAGTCGTCGTTGTAGTTTAAGATACAGGCCAGAGAGAAAATTCACTGACCTGTTGGAGTGAACAAAAAGTTAAACTGGTGCTTCCGTATGATTTTGCTTGTGTAGTTCTTCATGTACGTATCCATTATTTAATTGTCCACCAACAGATAATCGGGCGAATTGGATGAATAATTGCTCGAGTGTTGAAGAGAGAACAGCAAAATCTTCGATACAACTGTAATCATTCTTCAACTCATGGAGCAGTGAATACATCTGCGTCCAAGTGGCTATGGAATCCGTAACATGGTAGTTGAGAAAACCTGAATTTTCATCTGTTAATTTACACCTTAGATTGATCTCGATTTTCTTTTTGATATCCTCGACGTCGTCATAAGTTCGATTGGGGAACAGTTTCACGTGAATATTGTAACCAGCGCCGAAGCGTTGCTTCAATTCTTGACTAGCACCAACGCAGACTAACTGACCTTTCACCATAATAACGAGGCGATTGCACAATACCTCGCACTCCTCCATACTGTGTGAAGTCAGAATAATTGATTGTCCAGAGGCTTGGCAGATTTTCAGTGTATTCCACAGTGATCTTCTAGCTGCTGGATCCACACCAGTCGTCGGTTCATCCATCAGAACTAAAGATGGATTACCAATAAGTGCAATTGCAATATTCAATCGTCTTTTATTACCACCACTGTACGTATTGCTGGGTTGATCAGCACACGCTGTCAGATTGAGTTTCCTAATCCATTTCTCGACGACATCCTGTACTTGATCCTTCGGAACACCTCGAAGCCTTGCGAATAAGTACAAATGATCCCAAGTATTCAGATTCCCCATAATAGCATCTTGCTGCGGACAGTAACCCATTTCTCGAAGATATTCAACTCGACTGCTTTCAATATTAAAGTTTCTCAGCCACATCTGTCCACCATTCGGCATTTCTTCTCCAGTCAGCATTCTAAATGTCGTACTCTTTCCAGCGCCATTCACCCCCAGCAACCCAAAACATTCACTCTCTTTCACCCTGAAACTTATCCCCTTCACCACATCGAATTTACCATACCTTTTCTTCAAATCATGAACTAAGAACACGTTCTCGCTTTCACCATCGTTAATAGAATTGATTTTCTTTCGCACTTCGTCAGCAACAATTGTTCTTTCCTTCTTCACCAATTCATCCATTTCAGTAAAGACATCTCTTTGGAAATGTTTTCTTACTATCTTCCTAACAATTCTCTGAACAAGCCGCTGTTCAACTATGAAAATAATTCCAGAGAATAAGAAGAATGAGCCTGTTAGATAAATCATACTGGTAGAGAGATTCGGAGAAGTTTTAGCAGGATTATCGTCGAAATAAGGGAATGGATTCTTGCAGTCACCATTAGTGCACTGTCTTCCACAGCATGGATCCTTGATGATGCATGAAACAGTGATGAATTCATCAGTCATCCTCCGGCATCTTGCATTCTTCGATACCACAGTAAAGAACGTTGCATGTCCTTGTATGAAACTCAAAAAAGGAAATACTTGAAAGAGTTTACTCTGCACATGTCTAAAACCCTTAAATATTTCATTATCCCACTTCATCTCAACAGTAGTTAGTATCATTTCCATCAATCCCAAAACTGATGGAGCAACACTCTGGAAAATCATAGTAGCATTCAACGACTTCCTTAGGAAACTGATGCAATAAATAAACGGTAGCATGCTCAATCCGAATAGCAGCATGAGCTCGGCAAATACAAGGATCTCAGTTTCATGGTAGAATTTCATTTCCAATGACTGGTCGACTAGTACGAATGAAGCTAGAAGGAGTAGAATCGACAGTACATATTGGATGTAATCAAATAAGAACATGCAGGCCCAATATGCTAATTTCGAAGCCCCAGTCATATTTTGGAGCTGTTTGATTCCAGACCGGGCTTCTTCCAGAGGCTGAGTTATATGCAAACCTATAGCTGGTGCTAGGTAGATAATTATGGCAACAGTTATCATCCAACCATCAGCCACGTCCGTTTGTTGAATGGCCCAGGATGATGGAATTTGCTGGATCGAAGCTTCAATTTTGTGAGATTCATTTTCAGTGACAGCTTTGAGAAAAGCATTCGATAGAGTGTTCAGTGTTATGGGAATTCCCAAATACGCTGTTCCTGAGTAAAATCCATTAGCTTTCATATCCGCACCAGTTCCATTAATCTCCGCTGAAACAATGTATTTATTCCTGTACTTTCCGATATCATCGTCAGCTGCTTTCAAGAGGGCATTCGTAACACTCATTGACTTCTGGGAGATTATCTCAGTCTCTCCACCGAATTGATTAACACTTTTTGCGTACATGTTATCCACAGCATTGTATGGAGATTTGATCAAAGCTGACGGAGAATTGTAGGACTTCAGTGTCAATGAAATTGGTGTACCTTGTTTCGGTCTTCCTGCGAATGCTGTCAACATTATTGTACACGCTAAGCAGGGGAGTAATAAACTCAACCAGAATAGCATCATATTTTTCTGTATTGATGTGAATTTTTTCTGGAAAAAGGCAAAGAAGCACTGGCGCAAATACTCCAGGCCTGTTGCTTTCCCTGAGTATCCAATCTGCTCTTTCGACTCAACTGTATCAGCATCATCTCTAGTTACTCTCAGGAATACTTGCTCCAACGTAATAATGGAAACACTCATTCCAGTGATACCTAAGGTCTTTCGTGAAGATTCCAAATGATCCAGAGTTTGTGGTAATGATTCAACCTGGGGAATTGCCAATACCATTTTACCCTCGTCTTGATTCAATAATTGAGCTGAGACTCCAATCTCTTGAATTACTTTCGAAGAATCACACCATGGTTCTACAGATAATGTCACTTCAACCTGACCGTCTCCGTACAATTTCTTCAGAAACATTGATGTTCCGTAGCTTTTCAATTTCCCTGTGTGCATTATCGCTATTCTGTCTCCAAGGATGTCGGCCTCCTCCATGTCGTGGGTGCTTATTATTATGGTTTTTTCACCCCTCATTTTGAGAATAATATCCCAAACCTCGCGTTTACTTTCTGCATCCATTCCGGAGGTTGGCTCATCCAATATCAAAACGTTACCATCACCAATCACAGCCATCGCAAGGCACAGTCGTCTCTTTTGTCCTCCTGATAACTGCTTAGGTGTGAAATTTCGTTTCTCCGTGAGATTCACCTTCTCCAATAAAGTATCTATTTCCGAATTCAATTGGTTTCTTGTTTTGTTACGGCTTTTCAGAGTTCCGAAGAAGAAAAGTTGTTGATGGACTGTCAATTCTGGAAAGACCATGTTCTCTTGTGGGCACAGACCAATATTGTTTCTTATGGTGGATGGGTCTCGCTGGATGTTCTTACCATCGATGAGTATTGCACCCTCAGTTAAATCAGTTAAACCTGACAAAATGGACATCATTGTTGTTTTGCCGGCGCCATTGTGACCAAGTAGAACTGTTATTTGACTTTTATAAAAATCCATGGAGACCCCTTTCAATGCATCAACTTTAGACGGTTTTATAAAGCCTTTCGTGTATGTTTTTTTCAAATCTCTAATCCTTATTCCTGCCTCGAATGTCCCCTCAGGAATTTGTTCAAACTCTGTCCTGCTGTTTATTCTCCCAAAATCTATCTCTTTCTCGTTGTATTCCATATTTCTATCATGTCGAAAACAGGGGATTGGATTTCGGCTTACTCCATATTTACCTGGGCGGACTGCATAAGTGTAAAGAGCCATGCAGAAGTTGAAGAGAATGCCAATGATGGAGAAGATCAACATGACTCCAACACTTCCTTCACTTGGCACATCTGCTGAGCTGACTGTAAACATATTGGACCAACTGATGCCCACGAGCTTGCTCTCGTAGACTGTTATTTCCTCGAACATTCTCTGCAAGAGGATCGATGGGCATATCAAACCGATGTACAAGAAGGTGTGTCGAATGGCAGCGGAGGTAGCGAAATTGGAAATATTATTCAGTACGGCGAGGAACACGAAAGTTGCAAAGATGCCATTTGATGCTGAAACAAATAATACGAAGTTACATTAATTCGTGAGGTAGTAACTCATGAAAAGATCATATCTACGATGAGGAAAATGGTAAACAAAATCGGGTCATTCGTGAGTTATGAATTTTTCGGGAGAATTGTTGAAAAACGATCAATGATATCCATAGATTTTATTCTTGCATAAGAAATCGCATTGTGATTTCAAAATTGGTGATCTCGCCATAATCCACAAATTGTTAAAAAACATTAAATAACATTAAATAACATTGTTCTTCAAGATAAAAAAAAATAGCATAATTTGATATTTTAGCTTTCGATATACAGCAGTTCTAGTAATAACGGATTTTATCGAAATTAGACTAAATCAACGAATTTTTCAGTTTTTATGTTCAAACTTCATGGATAGAACTCAAATTGAATTCTCGCAGTTTTTCATTGACATATTATATGCTGATGTTGATATATTCATACTTTCCAAAATTTCTTATGAATTTTTATCAAAAATGTATCCCTGTGTCACCATCATCAATATGATGCATCGATATCTCGAAGAAATAGACTAGTATAATTCCATTTTTAACTTAATTAAAAAAGATGAAAAAATAAATAAATAAATGAGCAAAAGTTCTTTAAAAGTGTTCCCTACTTAACATTATCAGATTAATGAATGAGAAATTTGTTGTAAATCTCAGCAATGAGAGAATAATTTAATTTTATTAATATATTAATTTAACAGCGATGTATCATCGTTAACTTACGTTTCCAGAAATGCGATGACATATGATAACCGAAGGAGATCGTATGGCAGAGATTAACGAGCAGCACAAACCACACAATAAATGGATCCCCAAAAGACAAGAATGGAACAACTTCTGGTGGCATAAAGTGTCTCATGATGATAACAAAAGGAGCTAGGTAGAAAGTGCTGAAGACCGCTGCACTCGTAAACCAACTGAGCAGATTCATCTTCGCTGTAACTCCATTAACAGACATGAGGATATTAATGCCAATATTTTTTTCAATGGCAGGGTACGCGATCTCGATGCAGAGAATGATCAAGAATACGAATTTTATAGTCTCCGAGAAGATTTTTCCTCCAATGGTGGTACCCCTATCGACCTTCGTATAGGGTGGATAAGGCATTTGCTGAATTGAGATTTTCGGGCTGTACTTGACAGCCCCCGAGGAAGTTTGTGAGACCCAGTTGATGTAGGCTTCATCAAGACACAATTGAAGGGGAACTACTGTAGGAGGAAGCATAAGACGATTCGCCATGTTTCCATTTTCCTCTGCATCGTACAAATTGGTCTCCAACGCGCCTTTCGTCCTGAATTTATACTTGAAATTAATCGGTACAGAATCATCGAGTTTTGTTTCAAAAACAATTCCCAAGGATTCCACTGGAACATCTCCAACTTGATCTTGGGTCAGATCCTTCACCATTGTCTGCTCATCGACAGCACCACTGAAGTTGACTGGTGAATTGATTGTGTATTCCGATAAACACATGCTCGTGTATCTTATCAAATCGATTGTTGCACTTGTTTCTGGCGTAAAGCGAAGTATGTTCAACCTGCAGGTTCGATTCTGCAGACTCTGCTTAGATTGAATCTCATGATAATTCATGTTGTTCAGTCCACATCGATAATTCAGTATATTTTGCTTGGATTGAATCTCATGATAAGTTATTTTATTCACATACTTCGCTGAATTATCAGATAACAGTCTAATAGTCTGTGCGATAAGGAAGAAACCTATTGGAATTATAATTTGGACTACGATGGTGCGAACCCAGCATTTTTTGCGGACGTGCCAGTTCTTCATGAGGAGAATGAAGAATATTCTTATTGTTTCATTCATTATTTGAGTTGTGCTCGGTTCAATTTCCTGAAGATTGATTAAATTCCTCCCTGGCCAGGTGGCCACAAGTCGGAGTGGTTCGATGTGTTATCTGAAATCGGAAGTCATTAGTAGTAATACCTCTGCCCATTATGGAGTTTCTCATAGGTACATTATTTAGCGAAGAATGTATTGAGTTTTGCAGGACTTTGAATTATACTTTACATGCTTGTTCTACCCAGGAAAGACGGGGAAATACCGGATTCATTCAAAAGATCAATTAATCCTGTTACATGTTTCGAGCTTCGACTGATTTTCCCATTCTTTATCCCTAATTTCTTAATCACAATATAATAAAATGAGCAGTTTTTAAACAACTATTCATTAACTATTGATATCGAATTAGATTTAGTGGTGACTAGAATGTCAGAAAACTCCAAAAGTTGTGATTAAATGAATGCTGACTTATACCTTGTCTCCTAGCCGGAAGAAATTGCATTCAATGGATTAATTCACTGAAAACTCTCCCATGACGTATTTCAATCACAAAATGAATCACCTTGAAAACTCATTGTGAAAAACATCCAAATAATCAGCGTTGCTCAACTTCACCTTTAACGTTGAATCGTTAATCTACAAAAAAATCTACTTCAATATCGGCTAACTAATGCTATCATTCGCTATCGCAGAACTTGAGAATCTTTATCGTGGTAACCACTTCCATTAACAATGAAAACGTCAGAAAAATCTAATGATAAAGCCCGATGCATTGCAAACTGGGTAAGCGTTCAACATCGAATGCGATTGCGGAAACATTGGAGTGATATGACCTGTGTTTCATGAAAGAGTGAGTCACGTGTGTGCAATATCACTGCATTATTGTTCACCATTTGAAAGTAACAGGAAAATCACGCAAAAATTTCAAATGCACTTGTGAAAATTTATGCCGAATCCCCGCAATGAGTACGCTAAGAATTTTATTGCGAATTTATAATTCAAATCCATTCGTACCAAATCGTTGACACCGATCGGTTGCTGCGACCAACACTGTCATTGATTAGATCATCGCACCTGTTTATATGCCAAGCCTCTGAGGCCCTGCTGGCCCCTATCAATGTTATCAAACATTTCCTTATTTTTTCTCCCATATAGGATATCTAATCATGACTCTATTTACTCGGAAGCAAGTAATTTGTATTCCATAAAAAATCGGTATTCAACATTATCATTATAATCGTAACTCATTGGAGGGTCTAGATGCCTTTGCAGAAAATTCTGTAATTTACGTGGACTCTCAATGAAAACATGAATATTCAGTACCAAATACCGCTGAATTGTTCCATATTTCATAGCGAATCAATGACTGCTTGGAAGTGGCTAATGCATATTTCAATAAACGTTGATATGGCACGTACAAAAAATACACGTCACAAGGATTTTCCCAATGTTTGGTAATATATGTTACGAATTTGTTGATATTTTTCTGTATATGATTATGATTTCCTATAAATATAAATATGTTGGCATATACAGTTATATATCAATATTGATTATTAAATTATTATATGGACACTTCTGTGGTAATTATATACTGAACTACATATATGTTGGAGTATATGATTTTATATATTTTTGTGATGGAAATGATGGTGATTTTAGATATGATCATTATAATCTTAACTCATGTCAGATTCTTAAGTATTTTTTTGTATAAGAATTTATAAGAGAATAGATGCAGAAATTCTGTAATTTACTTAAGGGCCGGATGGAGTATCTCGGAAAGATAATTTACTCCAAAATTGGGATTCCTAATTACTCCGCCAATTAATTGTTTTTTCCGATAATTGTTAGCGAGCGTTCTAGTCGTTGACAACCGCTAGAAAGCTAGCTAACAATTATTGAAAAAAAAAACGATTAATTGCCAGAGTAATTAGGAATCCCAATTTGGAGTAAATTATCTTTTCCAGATAATCCAACCGGTCCTTAAATTTTTCTCGGACATTGTGACCAACACTTCTTCCTGTGAAGTAGGAAATAAGCGGAAAATTTAATCTTTCGTTATATTCTCGCGCCGTTTAGCTAAAATTACCGGTTTTTTGAGGTGTCTGAGAAATTTTTAATTGGATTGACGCAAAAAATATACAGAATTCAATGATCGTGCAATAATTTTCCTGCATTCTTTCTGAATTTTTCAAAAATTCTTAAACTTTTATTCAAAAAGTGCGGAAAATTATTGCACGCTCCAGAAACATCATGTTATAAGATAATGATAAAATGCAACAACAGTTTTTTTTTCGGATTAATGCGATCAACAATCTGTTAGAAAACTCCAAAAACCGGTGATTTCGGAGATAACTTAACGATGGCCTTAATTAATAATTATTAATATATTATTAATTAATGATATTTATTAATTAATGATAATAAAACTGCGGGTATTTATTCTTAATCATTGCCTGGATATACAATAAATAATTCTAAAAGTACCACTGCAGCTCAAGTTGAATAAAAAATTTCAGGGAAGTGCATAAATAAAATCGATTTTTTTTCGATTTCTATTTCCATTTTCCAGTACTATTTTCTAGCAGTGTAATCACACCAGTTTTTGGCGAACCATGAGAAAGATTAAATAATAAACAGATGTGAGAGTAGTAGAAATCGATTAATGAACCGCCCCTTCAATTTCCGAAATTATTATGACTAGGAAAAGCATATTAAACCGTTAATTCGACTTACCCTATTAAAATTTCAGCACTTTGTATAATTCTTGATTCACAAACACTGGATTCCTGGACGGGTAGAATGGTGAGATCTAGCCAATTAGTCTTGATCATCATCGCCATATACTCTAACAGAGTCGAAGCGATGGAAAATAACCATTGGGAAAAAAAATTTCAGGATGTACGACAGAATATCATTGTAAAGCTAAAATTTGTAACGTAGTAGAAATATTTTATTTCGTGTTATTTTCACTCTACGTTAAGTGGAAATATATATTAAGGAGTTATGGCCCATATCTTTTCCTTTTAACAGTTTTTTAAAAATTCTAGAGAAACGGTCGACAAAATTGACGTAATAAAATATTGTTTTTAAGTTTTATTATGATTCATGGCTGCACAAAGTTCTATTTTTTCATCGTAGAAGAATTTTCCAAGGTTCTCAGTTATGCTTGCAAAAATTTCCAAAACTTTACCATAAATTCACGGAAATGAATGCAGACTACGAAAATTTGCGAGTCATTGATAAATTATAAAACCTAGAAACGGTCTATTTTTTCACGTCCATGTGATCCAGAATTTCCCAGGAATTAAAAAAAAAAAACATGAATAATGAGAAGATGTCTACAATAACTCTGCAAATTAATTCAGTTTCGGCAATCTTAAAATCGTATATAGGCTAAAGGAAGATCGAGATAATATGACTGTACGAGTTATCTAATCTTCTTTGGCAGTGCATACCTGTGTACACTGAGTAAAGCCAGTAAGTTTACCAGTAAGTCATGATTCTACCAATAAAGTTCTCAACAAGCAATTCCCGAAAAGAAATAGTGTAGGGTTTGAACATGAGTCTCAAACATGAATAATTACTCTGCTTTCAACAATAACGAGACACTTGGCTCATTAAATTAAATTATTTACACAAGAAACTGCCTTTTCCGATAAAAATAATAAAGACTCCATCAAGAATTATTTCCTTCGTAAGTTATCAGTTTGTTACCCTATTATTGATATCATATTATTTAAGAATCTTTTTTTGTAATTGAATTGAATAATTGCAATACGTAAATGTTCGATAATTACCGGCCAATTAATTAGCACCGAATATTTTTTGAGAATAAATATCTGACAGTATTTGATAACAGTGGATAGAAATTCCATTTCTCATTTGAGTAGAGAATATTTTCGTTTTAAGAACTCAGATTATTTTTAAGATAACAATTTTTAATTTTCACTCACACAAAATATTTAGCACAATTTTTTTTCTGGCAGTTTAACAGATGATTTATTTGACACAAGCAAGACTTCGCTGAAAACTCCTGTTTTACTCCCAGTGTACATGAAAATGCTTTTAATATGTTTAGTATTTTTTTCGGAAAGTATCAATTAAATGAAAAGTCCCCGAGAAGAGAATTTATAAAATAATTATTGGTTTTTGGTAGCAATCATTGGGGTTAGATGGTATTTCTTTTAAGAATGTTTAATACTATTTTCTTTAAGCCACCAATCCTATAAACACATGATGCACTTACGATTTAGAAATGATCATTTTAAATAATTTCCCGAAGGTACTGCAAGTATTTAATGAATTTCATGATAGAGGCTATGAATTTCGAATGCATCCAACAAAATGATGTCGAATGCTCTATTTTATTAATACATTTGGTGAGAGCTATTTTTGTATTAGATCATGGTAGGTATAGTAAATTGTCTAATGACGTTGAAAGCATTGGAATTCATTGAAGCTGAATCGTAAAATGGAAATTTGTCGGGTGAAGTCGGAAGTTGATGGACATACGAAGGCTTTTTTCATTCAAATGATCTTTGGGCTGAGATTGCAATGTCAATAATTCAATACTACATTTTCGTATGATTGTGGGAAAGTTTTTGGGCTTGAGGGAGGTTTATAGCATTTATAGAAGGCGTGTAAATTTTCTAGTGATTGCCCTTTTATTATGAATGATTTGACTCATAAATTATGAGAAACATGAAGTGCTTACGATAAATGAGCATTCATTTATCTGGCTTCAAGTTTCGAATTTTTACATTTTGATGTCGAGTGAGCGAGTTATCATTCTGTCGTTATCATTAATCGAATCATCACTTAATCCGACAAAAATTTATTGGTTTATCCGATGACGCTGTGGACGTATGATTCCACGTATGATTTTTGTGTTAAAGACCGGTTGGATTATCTAAAAAAGATAATTTACTCCAAAATTGGGATTCCTAATTACTCTGGCAATTAATCGTTTTTTTTAAATAATTGTTAGCTAGCGTTCTAGTGGTTGTCAATGACTAGAACGCTAGCTAACAATTATCGGAAAAAATAATTAATTGGCGTAGTAATTAGGAATCCCAATTTTGGAGTAAATTATCTTTTCCAGATAATCCAACCGGTCCTTAAATTGAAATTAACTTTACAAACTGATGATAGTTTTCAGTTATAAAAATACCTTTTAACAAACAAAATCCATGAACTCACGATAAACAATCTTGAATATCGGCAAGAGATCATGCATCGAATTTTCTGTTCATATTTATCAATATTAATATAGTTTATAATCTTTTTTATTTACAAATCTAAGGGAAATCTTCTTTCCGTTCATTATACTGAAATTTTCTGAACAATAATTACAAATATACAATTAGCAATATTGGAAAGAATACTTGTTGAAGCTATTAAAATTGATGAATTATAATTAATTAATTTCCGAAAACCGTCTTAGGCTCTTAGAAGAATGAACACATTTAATGTCTGTTGCACTGTTGGAAAATTACACTTGGAAGTTCAAGCGATAAATTCCCTGAGTTTTAAATTTATTGAAAATTCAATTGCATTTGAATAGAATTTTCACGGTGAACACTGAACAGTCAAGTTTTCACTGAAAAATCAATTATCATTCAACATAAAAGATCTAAGTTCCTTGAATTTTCTAAGACAAATGAGATATTTAGAAACCGTTTTTAATTGGAATTGACCTCGAAATCATATTGTTACTATTTTAGATGATTTTGATTTCATGACTTGGTGAATGAAATTCCAAAAAATTGAGGTGTCATTATATTCACTAATTAAATTGTGAACACGAGGCATATAAAACAACGGGAGACGACCTTCTCCATAGAGACGTGTAAATATTTTAGCAACAAATACGATTTTTCTGCTCTTATTATCGGGATCGACTATCGCAAATAAATTCGTCCCTCAAGTTTCGTTGCCGCAATCGTATGTTAATTAGCCAGTAGTTTTAAGCTGATTATTACCATCGATTGAATGAATAAAGAAGGTGTCAAATAAAAAATTACTGCTCACCTCTATGGATTGTAAAATTTAAACATGGGCTCGCCTAGTGCTCTTCTGCCACCACTTTTGAGGTGCATTTCCGTTATTCTGGGGAGCATCATCAGGGGCTCTGGCAAATTGGATAAACAATTGCTCGAGCGTCGAAGAGAGAACAGCGAAATCTTCGATACAATTGTAATCGTTCTTCAACTCATTCAGAGTGGTATACATAATTGTCCATGTGGCTTCGGGATCAGTGACATGATATCCCAGGAAGCCAGAATTCTCATCTGTTAATTTACAAATCAAGTGGCGCTCGATTCTTCTCTTGATATTGTCCACATCAGCATAACTCCGATTGGGGGATAGTTTTACATGAATATTGTATCCAGCACCAAAACGCTGTTTCAATTCTTGACTAGCACCAACACAAACTAGCTGCCCGTTCACCATAATAACGAGACGATTGCACAGTACCTCGCACTCCTCCATACTGTGTGAAGTCAAAATAATTGATTGTCCAGAGTCTTGACAAATTTTCAGAGTATTCCACAGTGATCTTCTAGCTGCTGGATCCACGCCAGTGGTCGGCTCATCCATCAGAACTAAAGATGGATTACCAATAAGTGCAATTGCAATATTCAAACGCCTCTTGTTTCCTCCACTGTATGTGCCACTGGGTTGAGCAGCACACGCCGTAAGATTAAGTTTTCCAATCCATTTCTTAACTGTATCATGTACTTGATTCGCTGGAACACCACGAAGTCTTGCAAATAAATACAAATGATCCCAAGTATTGAGTGTATCAATAATGGCATCTTGCTGAGGACAATAGCCCATCTCCTGCAGATATCTGGTTCGATTGTTTTCAATATTAAAATCCTTCAGCCATAACTGTCCACCATTAGGCAGCTCCTCCCCAGTCAGCATTCTAAATGTCGTACTCTTTCCAGCTCCATTCACCCCGAGCAAACCAAAGCATTCACCCTCTTTAACCCTGAAACTTATTCCTTTCACTGCTTCAAGAGCCCCATAATTTTTTCTCACATTGTGAACTAGAAATATATTTTCATTTTCTTCCTCAAAGATCCCATTGAGCTTCTTATTCAACTCATCAGCAACGACTGCCTTCTCCTTCATTACCAACTCGTCCATTCCCATAGTATTCGCTTTCCACGCCTTTCTTCTTCTGATTTTCATCATAATTCTCTCAACAATCTGCAGTTCAATCAAAATAATAATTGCGAAAAACAATACAGACGATCCTAGCAGATACATCATACTAGTGAAGAGACTTGGAACTTCTTCGAAGGGGCTCTTAACAAAATATGGAAATGGATTTTGGCAATCACCATTGGAGCACTGTGCATCGCAACACTCATCAAAACTGATGCATGCCACCTCAATCAATTCATTAGTCATTCTTCTACACCTTGCGTTTTTCGATACTACTCCAAAGAATGATACGTGTCCATAGGTGAAGCTCAAATATGGAAACAGTTGGAAGAGCCTACTCTGAATCTTTCTGAAGATCTTAAAAGTGTTATTATCCCATGAAAATGTCACAGCAACGAGAATCATCTCCACAAACCCCAGAATCAGTGGTGCAACACTTAAAACATTGATCGTAGTATTCAGTGTCTTCTTCAGGAAGCTAGACATGTAGACAAATGGTAGCATACTCATTCCAAACAGTATCATCAACGCAAAGAACACAAGAATCTCAGTTAATCGGTAGAAATGAGTGGCCAGTGATATATCAACTATGATGAATGAAGCCAGAAGCAGTAAACTTGATATAATGTACTGCGAAAAATCGAGTAAAAATATAGAAGCCCAGTATGCGATTTTCGAGGCACCAGTCATGTTCTGCAGCTGCTTGATTCCTGAACGAGCCTCCTGCAGGGGTTGAGTGACATACAGCGCAATTGCTGGGGCTAAAAACACAATGATTGCTAGAGTTATCATGGGCCCATCCACGGCCTCACTTTTGTCAATCTCCCATGAGGAAGGCAGCTGCTGAGCTGATACTTCGATCCTGTAAGACTCGTCATCAGTCAGGGCTTTCAGAATAGCATTAGACAGTGCATTTAATGCTATCGGGATTCCTAGATAAGCAGTCCCTGAGTAGAATCCATTGGCTTTCATAATATCACCAGTTCTATTGAACTCAGCAGAAGTAATGTATCTATTTCTATAGATTCCGATGTCCCTCAAAGATGCTTGCACCAAGGCATCAGAAACACTCAAATGTTCCGGGTCAATTATATCAGTCTTACCGCCGAATTCTCGGACTCCAATTCCGTACATGTGAGCCAAATATGGATTCGATGATGCGACGAATGCTCTAGGATGGCTGTAAGCCTCCAAGGTTAACGAGGTGGGACCATCACGAGGTCCTTTCTCTCCAAACGCCATTATCATCATAGTACATGACAAACAGGGCAACAGTAAGCTCAACCAACAGGTCCAAGGATTTTTCCTCATAAATGCCACTTTCTTTATCACAAAAGCTCTGAAGCACTGCGTGAAGTATAAGAAACCTGTGATCTTGTGAGAGGATCGGATCTGATCATTAGCATCCACTTCGTCAGTGTCTTCTCTAGTTACTCTCAAGAACACCTGTTCCAGGGTGATTATAGAAACACTCATCCCAGTGATTCCCAATTTTTGCTTCTGAGATTCTAGTTTATCCAGGGCTTCCGGTAGTGATTCTGCCATCGGAATGGCAAACACCATTTTACCTTCATCTTGGTTGAGTAGCTGAGCTGAAATTCCTATCTCCTGGATGATTTTCGAAGAATCACACCAAGGTTTCACGGATAATGTAACTTCCACCTGACCGTCCCCGTACAACTTCTTCAAAAACATTGAGGTGCCGTAACTCTTCAATTTTCCTGTATGCATTATCGCTATTCTGTCACCAAGGATATCAGCCTCCTCCATGTCGTGAGTGCTAATTATTATCGTTTTCTCACCACGCATTTTGAGGACAATATCCCAAACTTCTCGTTTACTCTCAGCATCCATTCCGGAGGTCGGCTCATCCAGGATCAATACGTTGGCGTCACCAATTACAGCCATCGCAAGGCAGAGTCTCCTCTTCTGACCCCCTGATAACTGCTTTGGAATGAAATTACGTTTTTCTTCAAGATTAACTTTGTCCAGTAGAATCTCTATTTCTTCTTCTAATTCTTGTTTAGATTTTTTCCCTGCTTTGAGGGTTCCAAAAAAGTGGAGCTGCTGATAGACCGTTAGATCAGGAAAAACCATATTCTCTTGGGGACATAAGCCGATGTTGTCTTTTATGGCGTCAGGATCTCGTCGGATGTTTTTTCCATCGATGAAGACTATACCTTCTGATAAGCTTGTTAGACCTGAGAGAATAGACATCATTGTGGTCTTACCTGCGCCATTGTGACCCAGGAGAGCTGTTATTTGGCTCTTGTAGAAGTCCATTGACACTCCTCTCAGTGCGTACACCACTGAATTCCTGAACCAACTTGTTGAATAGACTTTCTTCAATCCTCTGAGTCTTATTCCTGGCTCCAATCCACCTTCAGGGACATCTTCGAATTCTCGTTTTGTTATTTTAGTCTTTTCGAAGTCTATTTTGTTCTCGTCATCTTCAACTTTGTGACGCTTTTGGAAGAAGAAGAGGGGATTCTGGCTGACTCCGTATTTTCCTGGACGCACTGCGTAAACATACACTGCCATGTAGAAATTGAGAATGATACCGATGATTGAGAAGATTAACATAACTCCGATGCTCCCTTCAGCTGGGGCATCCAGAGTCCCCGTTGTGAACATATTGGACCATTTTGTACCAATGAGCTTGCCCTCGTAGATCGTTATTTCTTCGAACATGCGTTTTAGCAGAATGTTTGGACAGATTACACCCACGTACAGAAGAAAATGTCGAAATGCCACACCAGTGGCGAAACGAGCGATGTTATTCAGGATAACCAGGAACATAAAGGTGGCAAATATTCCATGTGAAGCTGAAATTGATTAAAGTCACATGATTATTTCAGGCATTAGTTTCCTAATTGAGGAAGTTAATGTCAAGGACTGCAATTTATTTATCGCGGAGTCAGTGCCTTTGATTAATTATATAGGAAAGTATCGTAATTAAAAATCTCAATGAAAATAAAAATTCCGGGATAAGATGGAAATATGCATCAGCAACTAAAATCTCAATAGAATTTACTCTTTACATTCAACTCTTCCTCACTGATTGTCCGTTCAAATTTCAATCATTCCTCAGTAACTTACGTTTCCAGAAATACGATGACAGATGATATCCGAAGGCAAGGACATGCCAGCAGTGAACAAACAATACCAGCCAGACAATGAACGGATTACCATACGTTAAAAATGGAATGACTTCCGGTGGCATGAAATGTTTCATAATCAGTACAATTGGAGCTAGATAACAGGTGCTGAAAATGGCTCCACTTATTAACCAGCTGAAGAGATTCATTTTGGTGCTGACTCCATTGACAGACATCAGGATATTGATTCCAATGTATTTTTCATTAGCAGGGAAAGAGATCTCCACGCACAGAATTATTAGGAAAATAAATCGTATGATCTCAGCGAAAGTCTCTCCCCCAATTGCAGTTCCCTTATCGACCCTCGTGTAAGGTGGATAAGGCATCTGTTGTATTGAGATTTCAGGCGTATACTTTTGTACTTTCGAGGAACTCGTGCTGGAAACCCAATTAATAAAGGCTTCATCGAGACACAATTGCAATGGAACAATGGGAGAGCCCATTAGAATGTAATTAGCTAGATGTCCATTCTCTTCGGGATCGTACAATTCCTTCCTGAGTGCGCTACCCATTCTAATCTTGTATTTAAAATGATTTGGTATCGTATCATTAACAACCGTCTCAAAAACAACTCCGAGTGCGTCTACGTGATCTTTATTGAGAACCTGATCCTTCGTCAAATCCTTTATCATCGTGTCCTCATCCGGAGCACCATCGACTTTAGATTCTGGAAGTTGCAGGCATAGTCGTGTGTAATGCATCAATTCTATCGTCGCTGGGTTCTCTGGTGAAAAGCGAACTGTTGTATCTCTGTGAATTGTGTCCAAGATCTTCGCTTTAGGCTCTATTTCATAGTAAGTAGTCGTATTAATGAATTTAGCTGAATTATCAGTCATTAATCTGACTGTTTGGCCAATCAGGAATAGCGCTATTGGGATCAGTATTTGAGCTACCACGGATTGAACCCAGCGCTTCCTACGAACTAGGAAGTTCTTCTTGAGAAGAAGCACAAATATCCCCATGTTTCCTGCCATTTTCGTTTATTTTTATTCAGTTTTGATTGTGATTCATTGCATGAGATAGGACGTGTATGAGGTAGTACGAGAAATAAACAGTACGTGATGAGAGGTCTTTGCTGGCATCTGAAATTGAAAAAAAAACACATGAGATAAGAATTATTATTCAGGTACTGCCGTTTAATGAATTAGTTAAAAAATATCGAGTTTTAATGGCTCTCACTAATTAATTGATTGATTGATTCCGACCGCATGTCCCAATAATGCTATTAATACTCAAGAATTTCTACTTTATTTTCGATTTCGAAAAATATCTATATCTATGGATTATTGACGTGTAGCGAACATTTACACTCTAGGGATTTCAAGTTTTTATCTATTCACGGCCACGACACCATTAAAATATAAAGTCTGTTATTTTCCAGAATTTTATGAAGTTTTCCAATCATTCATTATCCAGTAATCTCTAATCAACTAATTACCGTTGCACATTTCAACAATCGCGAAATTAATAGAAACGTTGATTATTTTTTATAGGAAATATGTTCGGAAGCAATAATAAAGGATGTTTAACCGATACCAACATTATTCAATACAGTCTATTTTTTTTTTAAATATAATAACTGAGAGTATGAATCATATGCAAGTCACATTTTCGACCCTTCGATCGATACATTTTCGCGAGACAATAATTAGTGAAAACACTTGTTTGTAACAGAGTCTTATGGGGAAACTTGACCGCGTTAGCTTTGATTGAAAAGGGCACTAGGATACGCACTCAACATAATAAAAAAGATTCACTCATTTATTTGACGATATGGGGAATATTTTACAGGCGACAAAGATTCGGGTACCCGATACAATACGCGAGGAATTTGTCATTGATTTGTTAAAAGATCTGGAAAAAAGTGGCGGCCATTACGATTGTAACGTGAATCACACTTCGATTTTCAGCCGAAGAAAGAATTGTTTGTCTGAAGTTATGAAAGATAATCGAAAACATGGTGTAGAGTGTCAATTCTTTTGAAATAAAGACTTGACCACTTGTTATGACAAAGCAAAAGTTGAAGAAACAATTGTAATGAGAGTCTTCATGAAATGGGAAGTGATATTTTTTTAATAGCTGGTTAAAATGAGAAAACTCGTTCGTAAATAGATAGTACGAGTGCGAAGAACTGTAAAATGATGGAAAAAAAAGGCCACTGGTAGTTAATATTGTATACCGTCTGGTTGAATTGGTATTCAATACTACGTTCAAAGTCAAATGTTGACGGTGCAAAATATAGTGCGTAGTGTGTTTCTATGGAAACATGAGTCACTTGTCAGCAATTATTATCAAATATCCATGAGGTCATTCTTCGAAATGACAATAAAAATAAGACCAAGCCATCGAGCTGTTCCAATATTTGCTGCTCAATTCTCATGTACGTTCCAGCTGGATAGAAAAATCTACTTAAAGCATGTCACTGAATTAATACATTCTTAGAAACAAAAATTAATTCATACCACGCAAGAGTCCATTACATTGAGTTATCCATAAAAACACTATGTTCTGCCGTTATTTCTGCTTGCCCTTTGTTAACCTACTAACTTTTGAAGTTATCAGTTGTCTGTACCGTTACGTTGGTCTAATCTCAGATTACAGCACAACATTCGGAAAATTAGGATCGATATTATTACATTGAAGTGACGTTTTGTTTCAATGATGTTTTGACACTGAAACTGAACTGCAGCTGCACCCATTCACTACGCCCTCGAATTCTTTAGGCAGGCAACTCAGCAGCTGGCATACATTTCTGACCAATGAATGACGTGAAAGTTGAGTGGGCTAAATCAAAATCTGGCGTATCATCAGTACGTTAAAGCGTCGGATAATATGAAAGTTTTTCCCTTGTCTATGAGGAATACCGTAGAGGGCCCTAATTTATCATATATGTTGCTCTTTCAGGTAGTTCTGATCAAAACCCCGAGCCCAACAGTATCGACGGAGTCACATCGAGGCAGAACACTGCCTAACCCACAGGACCTGAACCTCAGAGCAGGAGACAGAGATTCATGAAGAATTATAGGGGAGATTAGTCGCGCTTATGGCAAATAAGGTATGATACAGGGAGGTATTACCAAGCTTTGATGTCGCCGACACCAAAACAGGGGACAAGTACCTTCAGCTAACGCCTTCTCCTCATGTGCGTTTCGTCCCCACAATTCAGCGATTTCTGGCGTTTACATTTGAATGCCAGTCGAATCGTTTGATTTTTTTTCTTTC